ACAAATGATAGATGTGGTATGTACAAATATTACTGAAAAAAATAGTTAAAGACGGTAATAGTCATTATATGTTAAATGAAACGTCAGGATGTAAAACTGCATGCACAATATAACCCCAATTTAATTTGTGTACATCAGAAGAATCAAAGGAAATACAACTCAAAATGTTAATGGTAGTTATAATGGGTGGTACAGTTATGGGTAGTTTTGGTTTTCTTCTATATGGTTGTCTGGGTAAGGATCTGAAGGTGACTGTCTCTTTCCTTTGGAACAATTTGCATGACCTGAAAAGCTATTCTCCTTGAATTCCATCCCACCCCTCCCCATTTTCTTTTCAAATTCAGGCTGTATAATTGAAGTTCCTTTTAAAAGTCTGACATTTGGATAAGTGGAGTCATATCCTAATTAGAAGATCTCTTTTTCATGATAATGTTTTGAGAGTTAACATATCTTACTTTTAGAGCTGTGTGTTTAACTTGTTTAGAGCAGCATGCTAGCGAGGCTGTAGTCATGGGTTCAGTTTTCATGAAGGTCATCTGGCTTTCACTTGTTTCATATCCAGATACCCTTAAATTGGGCTAGGCATATTACAAAAGAATTATAATATTTCTTATTCGCCTTTTTAGTACCTCACTTTGTAGAAATGTATGGTCTGAATTTTAAGGGGAACTGGGCAGGAGGTGGGGCAAGGAGGGTGCTATATGTGGATAAATCAGTATCAATTCATGATCAGAAAAATGCTTAAAGACCATGGATTACTGAGTATTAAGTAGCTCTTTGCTTTATCCTTGTGTAAAGATAGCCTTTTTTCTTTCATTTTTAAATCATCTAATTTAAATACCTTATAATGACTAAGAAAATTATCTTAATATGACTTTTAAGTGAATAATATAAAGAGTATACTGTGAGAATATTTTGGGGCTTTAAAAATGTCAGTTTTAAAGGCTGTACAGTAATATGGAAGTTTTTCCTGGAATACATTTTAAGAAGCAAAACACTATGTAGAACTGTGACTTTTTTTTTTCCTTTTTGTTAATTTATTAGACCATTAGTACACACATACAAGGCAGAAACTCTAAATCTTTTTGCCTTCTGGTAAACTAACTATTGGCTTTATATGACCAAGTTCTAAAGAGATAAAGAACTTTAATAGTAAAGCAGGTTATTATGAGAATTGATGTTAACAAGTAAAAAATGAAAGCATAATTTGGGTAGAAAATCAATTGGAGTTATTAAGTATTTGATGTTGTGATGTTAGTGAACTGAAGTAGCTGGATTTGTAATTAGTTCCTATTAAAATGATTAAGGCCTGATGGGTACTGCAGTAAGTTCAGTATTTATTTATTGTTTGATTTTTATGTTTTCTTATAGGTGATTGGTCTGTTGGATGTTTTTACACCTGCAAGGTCTCTGGAGGAATTCAATGATGTGTGAGTAAATCTTCTACATTTGCCTTCCTGAGCTAGAGGATGAAGATTAGCAGCCTGTTTTATATTCCTGAACCATTTAGCAGTACACAGACTTCAAAAGATTCTTTATTCCTATTGTCCAACTCTTGGTGGTGGGGATGGATAAGGAAGATGTATATTGTGGATGGTACATGTTAGTATTTCCATCATTTCAGTCACATTATACCCCATTTGAAGAGTCAGTGTTGAGTCCCTACAAGAGTTCCATGGCAAAGAGAGTAGAGGGAGTTTTGCCTATGGTTTTCTTCTCCACCCCATGCATGTGGGAAATGATACTAGAACTATATGCTGATCCTTGAAGTATTAGATTTTTGCACTAGGACAAGGGGTGAACGCTATATGTTGAGAAAGGCTTCTTCTCACAGCTTTGTGACCATCTCTGTTGTTTTAGCCTGGGATTTTTAGGAACCAGCAGTAGGGGGCTAGGGAAAATGAAACGGAAAGGAGAGAAAACTACTGCAAGGATATGTTACTGAGTTGGTCACCACTGTGGGCAACTGAACTGAACGCTACCGAGATCTAAGAAGCTGTACAGAATGCACCTTGGATGGGAAGCATTTATCCACTGGCCCATGACCACAGTGGGATCGTGCCCCATGGGACATTAGCGCCTTCCCATGCCCAGGTTGCACATGTGTGAGTGCAAGACATGTTCCAGCAGGTGTTTCTGTGCATGCATGAACCCTCTACTATCGTAGCTTTTCTAATACCTAATTAACACAGCTCCCCCGGTTCCTAATTCACAGATACACTATAGCATAAAAGAGAAAAGAGCACTGTAAATGCAGAGTTATATATTTGGTCCTGTTGAAGTTTTGTCATTCCAAGTGGAAAGGGTTGCTATTATGAAAGACAG